GAGAGTGAGCACCAATTATGGAGCAGGAATAGGGAGAACACCCCTCTTATGGACTACATGTTTGTATCCCCCCCAAGTCATATGTTGAAGGCTCAATCCTCAATGTGAACAATGGTATTTGCAGACAGGACTCTGGGAAGTAACCAGGTTTAGATGAGGTTGTGAGGGTAGTAGCAGTGTCCTCATGATGAAATTAGTGCCCTTAGAAGAGACCAAAGAGCCAGCTCCTCTCTCTCCATAACATAAGCACACAGCAAGAAGGCGGCCATCTGCAAGGCGGGAAGAGAGACCTCATCAGGAACTGAATCAGCCAGCACCTTGATCTTGGACTTCACAGCCTCCAGAACTGTGAGAAATGAATATCTGTTGTTTAAGCCACCGAGTCTACCGTGTTTTATTATGTTGTCCTACGCTGACTTGTAACAACCCCTCCCCACACCTGACCCTTTCCGAATCTGTGTGAAATAAAGGTTGAAATGAAGAATTACCCCTGAGCAGTGGAAGGAAGGGCTCATACGATCAACCTTAGCTGTGACCCGGGCAGTGGAAGGCAATACTCAGGAGCTGTAGACATCTTAATCCTCATTTTCTACACCAAAAAAGCAGATAATTAATATTTACCTTGAAAAGTTGTTGGCAATTACACGAACTAATGTGAGTACTGCATGAAGGTCTTCATTAAGTGATGCCTGTCACATATGTATTATTAACACCAGAGGGCAAAGGAGGGCCTGAGGGGGACGTTATGACCTGGTGGCCCTCAGCACAAGGAAACAGAGTACCTGTTCTGTCATCAGCTGGGCCTGAATAAACAGGCTGCTTATGGGTCCCTGAAAGAGAAAATGGAAGCAAACACAGACAGGGGAATTTGTGGCCCCATGCCACGCCGAGAGTGGGTGGATCAAACCTCTCTGCACGGTCCCATGTCAGGCATGTGGTTTGAGGCTGAGCTTCCCAGGTGATCTACTCTGAGAGTTCCAGGCATGCTGGAAGAGTGAGCTCTCCACCTGTGAGCTCCTGGGCAAGGCCTGGGGCCCTCTGGGAGTGGGGCATCCACGGCTGTCCTCTCCTTCCAACCCCCAGGGTACAGTGCTGAGATTTCACTTTTCTGTGTGACATGGTGTGAATAAAGGTTGGGTGCACTGGTGTACAGGGTGCTGCCCAGGTGAGGAAGGTGAACATGACTGGGGGATTCTCTCACTCTCAGGTTCCAGAACCTTCTCTGTACCTTCCCCTGCAGTGTCCAACACAGATCTGGCACAGAGTAGGCACAGGGGCCACCCCTGGCATCAAGGCTGCCACCTTAATGCTCTGGCAGAGCCAGGGGACGTGGGGGACATGTGAGTAGAAGGGCACTGCTGAGGCTGAGCTTTGCTAGAACCATTTGTTTGGTCCCAGAACCCTCCTGATGGCAGCGCAGTAACTGGGTAGTCCCAGCAAGTGCTCCAGAGGTAGCAGCAGGTGTTGGGGCCTCAGAACGTGGTCACAGCTGTTGCCCTTTGGGCCACGTCTCTTCTTCCTCTCCGTGTCTATGTGGGGTCTTCTGTCCCTGGCCCACAGGGTACATTCTTTGCTGTTTGTCTACATGCTTACACCCGTCTAATTAAAAAATGCATGAGTGACTGAACAAATGTTGATTGATGATGCCTTTGATTGAAAAAAGATATATCATCCCTTTCCTATGTCCCTGACCCTGGCTAGGTGTCACCAGAGACATAGAGACTGAGGTGAAGGTCTTGGGGGAAGAGAGGGCAGGTGACTTGTAGCAGAGATAGGCCAGTGCAGGACACAGGAAAAAGAAAAAGAGAGACAGAAAGAGAAGGAGAGACAGAGATTGAGAAAGAGACACAAAGACAGAAAGAGAGAGAAGAAGGCGTTATGCAATTTGTATATCGTTTGTGCATATTCTCGCTTCTAAATGCCTTCATGCCTCGGCCAGCCCGACCTCAGAGCTGGGCTCCACTGGGTAGTCAAGTACTTCGTTCTATTTTTAATGGCAACCCAGAAGCTGTGTGGGGAAAGGCAGGATGATATGGTGGGAAGGGCTTTGTAGTGAGACAAAGGCTCAAATCTGGCCCAGCTGCCCCCTACCTGGGTGCCTCTGGGCAAGTCCCCGAACCTCTCTGCACCTTGTTCTCTCATCTGCAAATGGGGGTGAAGTCAGCACCCACACAGGGCTGTCGTGGGCATGCCACACAGCAACACACACACAAGGCTCTGCGTACTTGAGCATCCGACACTTTCCAACAGAGGGGTGGGTAGAAGGGGAGACACAGCTTTGGGGGCTAGAAAGAGCCTGAGGTGCGGTTAGCCGTGGAGAAGTTGGGAGTAGCAGCTTCACGTAGCCCTGCCACTCTGCTTGGGCGCCTTAAGTACACCCAGGGCTGGGCTCTGAGGGCCTGACATCATTTATGAGAAACAACCAGGAAACTGAATCCGCTGTGTTTGAGTTGCCAGCAAACCCTTCAGGGTTCTGCTGTGGCATCCAGAGTTTTATTAGCTGCCTGCTGCAGTATTTGCTCAGTTTCAGTTTAGCTTTTTCTTTGTTTCTTTCTTTTTTTTTCATTTCGGCTCGGACATAATATTTTGGGGTACTGTGTAAGAGGACAGGTGGAATTAATGCATTTTATCCAAACTGAACATGGAGGTAACCCTCCCTTCACACCCCCAGGAAGAACTGGGGTTAAAGTGTTGCTCAGGTCTCAGCCCTGACCACTTGCTGACAGGTGGAAGCATCGTAGGCGGTGCCAGACAGCTGAGAGCTGTTGCTCTCCTGATGTGCCTTGATGAGATAAACTGGCAGCTCCCACCCAGGCTGAGGGACTACACGATGATTCTAGCCCCAACAAGGAATCTTGAACCAGGTCTCCCACCCCTGGGACCTAAGAGGATGTTCTGGCCTCAGATCTGGCCTGGTTTGGCCCTCAGAACCCCTGAGCTTTGGGAAATGACAGAGGCAGCCCAGTTCTCTCTGTGAAGTCCCCCCAGATGGCTCCCTCTGCCAGAGGAGCCAGCTGCCCAGATCAGCTTGGGGCTCTCTTGATGAACACCGGAGTGCAAATGGCTGGAGGCAGCTGGCAAGATGCTAAGTGCAGCATTAATCCTAATTAGGATGAGGAATTAATAACGAGGCCAGGCTTGCTGGAGTAGAGGAGCTAGTCCCAATTTCCCCTGGGAAACTGGAAGGCCTTGGGTCCACGTGTGCCTTTGGATAGCACCAGTGGCATGACTTATTGCACTGGGCAGATGGCACCCCGTGGGGCTTGCCAGGTAGAACATGGGGGCATTGCAGCCCCTGCTCCGTATCCAACTCTGGTGCTGTGGCAGGTAGTGACGTGGGTACATTCTCCAGAGCAGAGGAGTAGGTGTTCGTGATCTGAGCGATTGCACACCAAAAATGATATTTTTCAAAAGAAAAGAGGAGGGTGTGATCGTGGGCCCACCCGGGCCTTTGTGTGGCTGTGTTTCCCGAACTACTGACTGTGCATTTCTGCTACCTAAAGTCTCTACTTAGCCCTGGCATTTAGCTCCAAATTGCAAACGGCAAAGCAGCCTACTTGGGAGTGGGTCTGAAGACAGAGGTGAACAAGACTCCGGATGAGAACAAGTGTGGCCTCGAGTGGGGGGAAGGGGGAAGTTCGACTTCGCTAAGCAGACTCAGCTTCACAAAGCCTCTGTTCAGATGGCTCAAAGGCAGCCAGAAAAGGGCTATCTTTTAAAGAGTTCCCTACAACCTCCGCCAAGATCCAACCACGCTCAACTATTTGCAGGGACTGGCTGTAAGGAAGGGTAGGTATAAGAACTTCCCCCAAAGAACTGGTGGGGGGGCGGAGTTAACACGGGGGAAAAGGTTATACGAAAAGAGGAAACTCTGTTCAAGGATTTTTGAAGAACCAAAGGATCGCTCCGCCAACTCTCACCATCCGTATCCAATCTGAGAGCCAAACCAAGCGGCAGACCTGTGCACGACCTAGCCGGGACCAGACGGCCCCTCCCACAGCCACCTGTTAGTTCAAGTTCCGCAGCCGGGCGGGAGGGCGCCCGGAAGGCGCTGAAGCCGAGCGCATCTCCACGTTGGAGGCGTCGGGGGCCGGCAGGGTGGGACGCAACCTAAGGGGCAGAGGCGATCTAACCTTACCACATCTGCTACTCGGCCTCAGACCACATCTTGGGGTCGCACGCCCTGCCCCAACGGGCGACCACGCCCCTCCCTGGCAGTTCCCAGTACTCAGCTCGCTCCAGCACTCCCAGTTTCCTGCCGAGGTCACCCCAGCTTCTCTGCCCTGGGGCCGCAACTGAGGGCTCGCTGCCTCAGTTGGGAGAGACTTGGTGGCGCTCCCCTCACCCTCCTTCCCCCCACCGTGCCGAGAGGAGCGAGCCGACGGCCCTGTGAAAGAAGTGGCGAGCATCAAGCTCGGGTGACACGGCTGCCCCCCAAAGCGGCTCCAGCCAAGCCACTACCCGCGTTCCCAGCCCTCGGCCGGGCCTGGAGCTAGCGCGGAGCGGCCCCGGCGCGCCCCGCCCCCGGCCGGCCCCGCCCCAGGATGGCCAGTTCCCATAGCAATAGCACAGACACCGGTTGCCAAGCAACCCCTCCCCCTCCTCCCTCCCCTCCTCTCCGGTCCGCTCCCCCCAAACCCCAGCCTCCTACCGCCCCCTCGCCAACCTCCACCTCCCCCGGGGGCGCCGGCGCGGCCCCTGGGGATCGCATGGGTCCCGGGATACGCGCGCGCGTGTGAGTTTCGGTGTGTTTCATTGTGTCTGTGGGCAAGGAGGTGTGCGTGTGCGAGTGGAGAGTTTGTGGGATTGGTGTGTTGGGAGGTCTCCTCCTGGTTGGAGAGACCAGAGCTGGTGTACAGCTGGCCGCGAGGGGACCCGCCCGCCAGCTCCGGCTCTTTGTGTCTCGCGCGGAGCCGGCGCCGCGCCCACCCCCTCCTCGGCCCGCGCCCCGGGCTGTGCGCGTGTGTGTGTGTTGGGGGGAGGGCTAGGGCCGGCCATACCTTCGATGCAGCACACCCGCCACAGCCCCGAGTGGGTGAGGTCGCCGCGGGCGCGGCGGGGTGGGGGCCCGTCGTCCATGGTCAGGTTGGTGCCGTTGCAGATGTGCGCGCTGGAGTAGAGCCAGTAGTCGGTGCCGATGGCGATGGCCATGAGCGAGAAGGCGGCGAAGGCTCCGGCCGTGGTCAGCAGCATCTGCAGCCCGCGG